TCAGCATGAAGGATCCTGCGCAAACATCTATTGCTCATTCAAGGTTAGCAACACTACCTGCTGGATGAGTTTTCAGATCTAATTACCCTTTTCTCCACCTTTAGGGGAACCACAAAACTTTTACTGTGCTAAATTAAACATAGGCCAGTGCTGATGACATTTAGAAATCATACCCTTGGGCAACCAAAGGCTGAAGGCAACCTTTTTAACTTGGCCACCACAGCTAAGGCCACCACTTTGACCCTCGGGGTCTGGGTAGAAACAGGGAACGACTATGAATGAACTCATTCATTTGTTGGCTTTCAGATAGGACATTGTTTTCAGATCTCAAACCATTTCTCAGCAAGTCCTTGTGTCTTGGGATGTATTTCATGTCCTATAGATATATCTAATAGGACATTTCAGCTCTTAGGCACTTCATAGCATATCCATTATTTGCTGTATATTATTCGTTAACTATCGACCTGTCATCAGGAGTAATTAACTGAAATTTATCTTGGCATTAGCTTTAACTCATTATCACCCACACAAGAAATCTCTCATTTGTGTGCAGAAGTGTTTAACGTGAAGTTGACTGATCCTGAGCCAGCTGGCAATGACTTCTCCTTACAGTGATGACAAGGGCCAACCCAATCAGCTGGGGAGGCCAGCACTGGACCCAGCACTCCAGATGTGGCCTCACTAGGCATGAGCAGAGGGGCTGGATCACCTCCCTTGATCTGCTGGGATCACCTTCATTGACCTGCTGGGATCACCTCCCTTGACCTGCTGGCAATGCTCTTCCTAATGCACCCGAGCTCTCCATTGGCCTTCTTGGTCACAAGGGCACATTGCTGGCTCATGGTCACCTTGCTGTCCATCAGGGTGCCCATGTTCTTCTCTGCAGAGCTGCTTTGCAGCAGGTGAACCCACACTTCCTTGCCTATGAGTATGCTATGGGAGACAGGGTCAAAAGTCTTGCAGAAATCAATGTAGACAACATCGAGTTCTCTCCTCTCATCCATCCATCCAGTCATTCTCTCACTGAAAGCTATCAGATTGGTTAAGCAGGGTTCCCCCTTTGTACACCTATGTTGACTACTTCCCATAACGATCTTATGCTTCACATGGGAAAATTGGGAAAAGCGTCTATTTTGTCACATCCTCACTTTTTCTGTATCATGTCTGAGGGACATTTCTGATCAAAGTGTATCATTATTATTTTTTTTCCCAAGGGAATAGTGTAGTTGTGCTAGATTTTACTTTGGGAAGGACATCAGGATTTGGCTACCCCATTTGCAAGCTCTGCAACCAACACACGATTACTTCATGATAACTCTGCAGCCAACATATATCCACAGCCGAGATGGCTAAAACTCCTTTTAGTGCCTAACCTATTTTACTCTGCTTCAAACAGTGATCCCCAGACAGGCTAAAGCTAATGTTGTTTTTTCTTAAATGTCTGAGCAGCTTCAGACTACTTATTGCAGGCTGCAGAGAGTGCACGCACCTCTCAAAATCCCAGAGATTTCAACAAGACTTTGCATAATGAAGACTTATGCTGAAAATCTCTTTCAGATCAACAGCAGGGTTTTGGAAAAGACGGCTCATGCATTGGTAGATAGATAGTTCTTTTTATGGGGAAAATGTTGTTCTGAATACTGCAGCCTCGGGCAGACAAATTGCCAGCAAAAGCATTGCATAAAGCACTCATGACATGAGTGGAAGGACATCAGAGGTTCTGCTAAATCTTAATAAGTCTTAAAGTAACCACACAAAAATAAGTAAAAGGAAATCTATTTAAGAGGAGATTTATGCTGAAAAAGCAGAATCCCTCTCACCTCATTAAATGTCTAGGAGTTGGATGTCTCCTTTAAGCTGGTTATACCTACTCCTTTCCATTCAGTGGGGGAAGCAGACACCTCTGCAGGGCAACGTGGGTTAACGACAGTTTATTCTCTAAGAACTGAAGTGGATTATCTTCTGGGAGTAAGTCTGAACTGAATATCTGGGATTTTATTGTCTTGGTAATGTTTTCTCCTAAAGACACAATGTGACTTACACCTAAGTCACATCCGAGAAGTCCTCTGCCAACTGCCACCCAGAAAAACAGGGAAAAATGGCCACCCTTTTCTTGTATCACCCACAAAATTTCAGGGACAGTCACAGTGAACAAAGGATAGGGCTGCATCTTCTTCTGTGTGCATCTTCTTGCCTAGTGCTCGATAACTAAAGAGTATGTGTTTAGTCCAAGTTCTCTAAGATTCCCTGGAGAAAGGTACTGATGGGGGGAGGACATCTCATCCCACCTACTTAGGTACCTTTGGACATGGGCTAGTCCATGTTTGGAGGCATGCTTCCTCCAACACACTGTTTTGGATTGACTGCCAGTTTCAAGCAGCTGCAGTTGTAAGAGATGAATTGTTTGCAAAGGGCTTGTATAGGAACACCAGCTCCTTACACACACATATTCAAGAGCTCACGTAGCCCCAGTTCTCACAGTAGCCACAGAATGGAGTATTGCAGCCCGGGCTGTGTGTAGCCTCCACATGCATCTTCCAGGTCAGATCTGCTCGCCTGAACGAGTGCACTGAGTTCTTATTGCCTTTTTCTTGTTTTCTGCTGTTTTCTGCTCTTCAGAATCATTAGGCAATAGCAGCTAAGCTGGGATCTAGTCCCAGCTTGTATCAGTGATGTTCTGAAAGAAGAAATCCGACCTTCATAAAAATTCAGAGAGGGAGCAATTCCAAACTTTACTAAGGCTGGGGCTTGACCTGAAGTTCCAACTCTAGCACATCTGCAGTTGGTGATGGCCAGATCACGAGGGACATACTAGTTCTTAGATGAGTAGAGACTCATTTCTCTTGTCTACTTTCATGCACTCAATGGTACTGAAAGTCACTGGAAGGTATTCTTACCTGCCTTTGGGAACACCTGGCATGGGAACAAGAAGGGAAAAGTAAAATTTTCCCTTGCTCACTTTCCACAGCTTCTTAAATAGGACATGGAGACATTAGCTTAGCTTCCTGCAGTAGGTTTGCAATTGTGGTCTTAACAGCAGGGAAAATGGGGGTTTAGGAGGACGGCAAATGAAAATTACCATGGAAAATGGTAAATTAATCTTAATCTAGGACTGACTGAGTACACAGGGACTATGTGAATCATATGGAAAAAGCCAGCATGAGCTATAGCTGAGTTTTTAAGCCCTGCTGTGGGCCAGTTTGCCAGTCTGCATCTCTCAGTGATGTAACTGATGCTGCTCCTGCTTAGAGGCACAACTAGTCTCTTCTTGTGCTGTGCAACAAGTCATGATCACATAGACACAAGGAGCCAAACAAAACATGATTTGATTTCTAAGCACAACTACTTCCTAATAATACCTATCTCCACTTCCTTTGGCTTCTTCCTTCTTCAAGGCAAAACCTTTGATGCTCCCTTTCATAATGGGTCCTCTCAGCATTTAATTTCCTTTTGCATAACAACACTGTGGCCAGGAGGAGGAAGACGCAACCACCGAGGAAGGGAAAAGGTGCTTTGGGGACCTGGAGCATGTCAGGAAAAAAGCCTTCCAGGGTTCAGAGAGGCAGGAGCATCAGGCAGGTACATGTAGTGCCTTGGAGGAGAGCTCAGCTTGCTCACTTTGGTAGAGGAACCGAGCGACAGCGTGGCTCAAGGAGGGAGGAAAAACGATGCAGCTGACTCAGTGGACTAGGGCAGTCATGCCTGGTAGGGTTAATAATAATCATTAGAAGCAGCAGGAAAAAAAAGGTACTGGCAAATGTGAGCCGTTCTAGTAGAACTTGTAGAAAAGCTGTGTGATCCCTGTGTCAGCAGTTTGGAGGCTTGGAGATGTTGTGATGAGAAGTTTCAGAAGAGGACTGCATAAATAGGAGAAGGAGGCCTCTAGGAACAGCCATGATGGACAACTGGGAGGAAGGAGAGAGCAGTCCAGGCTCAAGCTGAGGCTCATAGTGCTGACCTTGGTCTAACAAGCACCTTTAACCCTAAGTTGCTGTTTGGTTCCAACCCAACTGCCAGAAGACTCCTCAGTTATGCTGGACATGGCAATCTTTGGGAAATATCTCAGTGCTATTCCCTGTGTGAGGATTGAACAGGAGCTGAACAACTTAGCATCTCATCAGCTGATATCATTGCTGGTCCTTGGAAAGGACCATTCCCTCTCAAGCGGGTGACTCTTAGGCCACCAGCTTGTCAATGGCCACCAGCTTGTCAATGGGCACAGAGCTGCTCACAGCAGGACTGAGACATGGGCATAGGCTGCTGGCTGCAATCTGTAGCTGCCCTCACTGCTCCAGATCATCATTGCAGCACGGAACTGGTCTCTGTGGTGACTTCCAAATTTCTGCTTGTCTAGCAACTATCTCAGCAATGACACTTGCTCTAGAACATTCCTGCCACAATTCAGCCCCCAACTGCCTTCCTTTTCTTTTCTCTTAAACTTGCTGAGAATTGTAGTATCGGTGAACAAGCTTTAATTCCTAAGCAATCTTTAAAAACGGTCCTATAACTTAGATCTATCAAACCAAGCCCCTTCTGTTACAACTTTACACCACTGGGGCATTGCACAGGCATTGAACCTCACACCACAAATCCAAGTCTGGCCAATTTTATCATTCCACATATGTTTGGAGGGAAACTGAGGCAGAGGAGGATTCTGTTTGCTCAGTGTTAGACATACAAATGTATGTTGGCAACTTGCAAGAGTAATACAGAATGGCTGACTCCTCCTGATAATATCAGCATCTCTCTAGACTGGACTGGGTTTGGAAGAGCTGAATCTCTTATTTTGATTGATACTGGTTTTCCTCGGTAGAACAAACAGAAATTTACCGTGTAAACGCAGTGTGGAGCTTGGAATGAGATTTGTCCAAGGAGGGAACCCCGTACGCAACAGGTTGTGTAGTATGGACCTTTAACAAAACATCCATCGGCAGCTGAGCGTATGGATCAGAGGGGGAAAGCCGGGAGGGTGGGGAAAGAAGCACGAGGGGACCACTTACATGGTAATGTTTCTGCACGGTTCTTTTGGATCATTATGCAGAGCTGTAGCACCAGTTGAGGGGCGCTCTCCAGGAAGGTTTCCAGGAGGCGCAACATATTTACGTCTGCATATTCGTACATCATAGCCCAGTAGAAACGCCGCTGGTGTTCCTTCCGCCTCTGACTCTGGATCCCCAGGTACATGGTTCGTATATACCTGCAGCAAAGAGAAGGAAAAGCCAAGTGTGAGGCTTTGGCTTGCACCAAAACCCAAGGTTTATGAGGAGAAGGAGGCTGTATGGGGGAAAGGGAGTCTGGGATGGACATAGGTATCTCCTTGGCTCTAAGATACTCCCCTGCGGTATCTGAGAATCTGCGAAATTTTGTATTGCAAGAGTGGGAAAACACTAACTTGCACCACAACTCGGGTGATTAGACCACTCCATGCCACCAGAAGCAAGACCTCCCAGCAAGAGAGGAAAGGATATAAGCCTTGATAGCTCCCATATCCCCAGCGTGGGAACCAGGAGCATGGGGAGAAGCAGAAATAGCCCTTCCAGAGACACATTGTCCTTCCGTTCCATTCTCAGCTCACAACCACATGACCAAAAAAAAAGGACACAAGAAATGTCCCAGGAAAGCCACCAGATGGGGCTCGACACTCATGTAGAGGACTCAACATTCACGTAACAGCAGTATTACCCATACCGGTGTGACAGACCTGGCAGAGCCCAAGGTGAGTGGAAATGCCCATGCACAGACCTGTTAAATGACCTAAATGACATGGGAAGCCTGTCCTCCCTATGTGAGCATATGGAAAGAAATCAGTGTAGTTTATGTCGCCATAAGAGTTGGGGAGCGTCGGTCGCAATAGCTCAAGGAGAAAGAAAAGGCACATGCAGCTGGGTTTTATAGCATCAGAGACACCAAAACACTGAAAAATAAAGCTCGCTGGGCCTATAAGAAGCTGTCCAAGCCCCAAAGCAACCATCACCTCCCAGAATCTCTCCTGAGAGGTCTTCACCCAGCCTGACCTAAAGGCCTTGCATGGGCTCCCGCCCCCATCTCAAGAACCTGTTTGCAACTCTCCTACTACGTGAAGACTAAACTCCCTTCCTGAAGGTTACGCTGGTCATTTCTCATCTTCTCAGCTATGGACAAGGACAAGCATTTATTCCCTCTCTCTCTGCAGCAGTCCTTTATCTGTTTGTACATAGTTATCATGTAGCTCCTCCTTTACTCCATACTAAAACAAATTAGTTCTTTCAGCCCCTTCTCATAGATCATTTCTTGCAAATCTCAGCTTTTCATGTTGTCCCCTCGGCCACCTCTAGTGGGTGGCGTTTTTTAAGGCCATCTTTGCTTTTATGAGTACTCCAGATGCCTTTGGTGCCACCGGGCCACTAAAAAGATTGAGGAGAGAGAAAGTAGCAGAAGGGCCACCATGTCCTGCAATTATTATCATTATCACCATCAGCATTATTATTATTTTGATCTCTAGGGATTTGCACCATCCATGTGGTTTAAACAAGTCCATTTCTAACATGCCACAGTGAGAAAAGACGCAACTTGCTCATGGCGGCGACAAGCACAAAAGAACATGAAAACGGACTGGACTAATGTATGTCCTGGATCCTGCCTCCATCAGCAGCCAGAGCAACAGCAAAACCAACTAAGTCTAAGTCTCTTGGCTGTTGAGCCCACAGCCTTGTAGAGATGAAAGGCAGCTACATTATCCCCATTCTAAAGATGGGGACACTGAGGACCAGAGCACCAAAAGGGCTCTCCTCCAAGTCCTCTAAGCAGATCAATAGCAGAACCCAGATGTCTCGGTGCTAACTCAGGCCTCAAACTACCACCACACAAAACCTCCTAGTGAAGTGCCACTCTACCAGCCAGCGTTCCTGTACCCAGGACGGGTACATTTTCTGGATATGGTAAGACCCAAACATGGCAAATCTGCTCCATGTTGGAAGATTCAACAGGAGATATCTGTCCCTATCCACTTACCAAGCACGACCGTGACCTCTGCAGTCCTGTAGCATAATTTGGGCCCGAAATATCTATTATTTTCTCCATGCAAAAATATGTCGATCTCCCTTTAGCATCCTTCAAATCCAAACCTAACAAAAAGAGGAAGGCAGGAGTAAAACCTGTTTCCCCCTTATGCCAGTCAGGCAGGCAGTTTTCGGCAGAGAAAATACTAGAGTAAAGGGAAAACAGCAACATTTTTACCTGGCAGGCTTTTAACAACTACTGAAACCCACTTTAATTAATCAATATAAAATTTCGCCCAGCTGTAACACTGTTAATACTTATTTCCAAATGGGAAAGTACAAGCACTGGTGTAAGCAGTTTTATTCCAGTATATCTGCATCTTCTTTGGGGTATTTTATTTGCTTGACTTTTTTTTTCCCCTACTTTTACTACCACTGGTTAAGTGTAGACAAACGCTGAGAAAAAAAAAAAATCAATGTCATTTCACCTGAAATCTGTTGTTCTCGGTCAAGCTGGTAGCAAACAGGAGTCTATAATTAGACTTTCAAATCCATATTCAGGCCTGATCTTCAATCTATAGCAACGCGACGCTTCCTCTTATGTCAGAGAAAGCCATTCACTGCTCTGCGCTTTTGAAGAGCAGACTAATTTATTTATTTAAGAGCTTAATTTTGGATACAGGAACCTAACTTGGGACGCTTTCCTTTCTGAATGCTAGTTATTTTTGTATACGAGCGTGTGTATTTGTGTGTATGTATGTATTTTTAGTTCCAAGTCTCATCGTGGCTTCAAGAGATATAACTAATTTGAGGTTGCAGGGGGAGGGTAAGGGGTGATTTTTTTTTTTTTTAATGCATGGAGGGTTGGCTGTTCCCTTCCTTCTGGCAACGTTCCCAGAATTCCTGTTGGTATAATTATCCTCACGCTTATTTACTACGTATGTCGCAGCAGCACACAAACTGTGCGGGGCAAAGTCACTGCTGTCCCTGCATCAAAACACATTTTCTAAGGAGCCAAAGCGACCTGCTGTGGAAATGTGGTCAAATAATCTTTGGGGAGAACATCAGGGTACCTCCAGCAGGAAGAAAAGGAAAGACTCCTACTGCAATTTAAATAAATATATAAAAATAATAATAAAAAAGATTAAGTGCTACAGAAAGTGATGGTTCATGAGGAGGTCCAAGCGCTCTTGGCTGTCACAGTGAGGGCTTCAGCAGAAACATCCATAGAAATGATGAAGTCAAAGGCTCTGTCCATACTGTTAAATAGAACAGGTCAACGACCAGCCGTTGTCCTTGGCCAGCTGGCAAGACTCACCTCCATGTGGGTACATCTCTTTCTGCTCCAAGAGGGTGAGTATGCCCATTCTGGTTGGCCTTGGCCAAAACTGCCAGGGATTTTGCTGACAATTTAACAGTGTGGACTCCACAGGATCGTGCTAGTGCCTTGGCATCATTCAATTTATAGAGGTGGCTCTGAATATCACCAGCAGAAAGCGTAGGAAGATGCCTTGGGCAACTGACTGGCTTGAAACAAAGAGGATGCTGATATATAAAAGGGATGTGGGAGCACAGTAAAGCACCTCAGCACAGGAACTGATGGCTCCAGGCTGTGTTTTGTGGGAAGTACAGTACTGATATCTTGCTCCACACAACCCAAAGCTGCCCAAGGTCAGGAATCCCAGGCTACACCTATCATAGTAAATGAAGAGTATGAGGAATTTCTCTTCCTCCGAGGCCAACTGGCCCAGACTAATCACAGCATTAAATGCTGTCATCCTCCAAAACCACATACGTGCCTTCACATCCTATACTGGGAATGACCTCTAGCCCTGCTCAGCTGTGAACCATGCCCTGGAACTATCTGGGAGAGCACTGGTCTGCCTTGGCCAAAGTCACTAATCTCAGTAATGATTTACCAGGATGAAGAAGCTACAGTGCCTATGTACAGGCCTTTAAACTGTCCAATTTACTAGTATGTATATGCAGAAAGATGGAAAGATTTGGTGCGCTCAGATCACTCCCAACAATCTCAGTTTGGGAACTTTTATTTGGCCAAGAACAACCAAGCCTACTGCTGTAGAAAAGGTGATTGCAGCTGTCAGAGAACCAAGTCCTGGCTTGAAAAACCGGAGAGCTTGTTCAGCACCTGAAGTAAGAAAGAGACCTCTAGGGAGGAAAGATGTAAACTCTGCTGAGTAAGTTGCAGCCTTTGGCTCAGGAGGATTTACCAGGACCAGAGAAGGGGGGGAGATCCTTCCTCAAGATTGGTTAAGAGTAGGGATAAGCCATGCAAGAATGGGCAGGAACCCAAGTCCTTGCCTGAGTCCTGGCATCAATGAGGAAGACCAGCTTCATAGAATCATAGAATCATAGAATGCTCAAGATTGGAAGGGACCTCTAGAGGTCATCTAGTCCAACCCCCTGCACATGCAGGGTCACCTAGAGCACGTGGCACACGACTGCGTCCAAGCGGGTTTGGAAGATCTCCAGAGAAGGAGACTCCACAACCTCTCTGGGCAGCCTGTTCCAGGGCTCTGGCACCCTCACTGTTAAGAATTTTTTCCTTAAGTTCCTGTGGAACTTTTGGTGCTTCAGTTTGTGGCCATTACCTCTAGTTCTGTCAGTTGGTTCAGAGACCAGCCTGGTTTGCAGCCTGTCCCCAGGAGCCTTCCCTCCTGCTGGGGTAGAAGAGCCCCGGCGCCTCCTTATCCTCCTTCAGTTCTCTCCAGACTGATGTCCTTCCCCTTGACATGACAAGATGGCGGTTTTGCCATGCGCCGTATTGAGGGATGCCATCTCCCTCACCAACCTGTGGCACCACCTTCCATCCAGAGAAGGAGAAGTGGGACAGAGAGGGTTCTTCAGCTGGCAATTCTCTCCTGCCACCTCATCCACCGGCGCTGCTACTATTTCTTGGACGGGGCCATTGTCCTTATGCCTCTTTGTGGTGAGCACGGAGTGTTGACAGATCAAAAGCCTCCTCCTTGAAGGGAGGAAATAAGGACTTGTGTAACCGCTCGGCTGGAAGGCTTGAAATGGAGGCTGCCTGAATGCACCCTTAAAACGAGGTTACGTAAGGCCAGACCTCAGCTGGAGCGAGCTGGCATCCACAGGGCTCTAGCAATCTACACCAGCTGAGGCTTTGGCCCACTTCTTTAATTTTAATGAATTATTTCCATTCTAATGGGTATAAAAGGAATATAAGATGCAGCA